ATTCGCCGAATGAAGACTTCGGGCCCAAACCGGCGCTCTCCAGGAGTTTCCGGTAGTCGTCCTTCTGTTGCCTCAATCGCTGCCTCTTCTCTCGGCGCTCCTCTTCAGCCCTTTCCTTCACATACTTCTCGAACACTTGTCTTCGTTCGCGTGAAGTGAGTATCAGATATCTGGCGTCGAAAACAATTTTATGCAACTCTTTCTCCCACGTGGAGAACGCAGACACCTGACAGCATAGGATGAACGCACAGTTAGCTCACAATCACATTATTCACTCAATATGTCACCTCTTTCTCAATGAGCATCGCCTTAAACATATTGATTCTCTCCTCCACGGGAATCGTTTCTCTCTGTTTCGCGGCCAACAGTTCCGCTTCACTCGTCCCGTCTTTCTTCGCGTCTTTCTCTTTCTCTTCGTTTTCTTCAATTTTTCTAATTATAAAAATACAGCAAATTTTAAATGCATTTCATTTCAAGTGTTTAAAGAATGCGAAAATACTTTTGCTTTTTGTTAGGTTTCTCTTCTTTCGTCTCATTCACTCGTTTTTCTCCCGACTCTGAGTCCGACGCTTTCGGCGGTCCTTTCATTAGCTTTTCAACATCCGAACGGTTTTGAAGATCTTGAGGGCATTCCCAGAGAGAGGTTCGAGTGCTTGGATTGTAGAAAAAGACTCTGTTGTCACCCGTCCACACAACGCACCTATGGTTAAGGGAAATACATTCAATATATCAAATGTCACAAAAATCGTGTGAATCACATACCAGGGCGTGCCCGACACTGGAGTACTTGAGATTGGTTTGGTCTTATCGCGGACCGGTTCCACCTTTTTGTCGGGTTTCTTAAGCTCTTCGCTTAATACCTGTTCGCTCTTAACGTCGTTCAATACCTCACTCCTTACCTCTCCGTTCTTCAACTCCTTCTCATTCTTAGCCAAAGCCTTCTCTTCCATCTGTTTCTGAGACTTTGTGATCGCTTCTAACCATTCATTTCAAACAAATTCTTTAATTAGATTTCAATTAAAACAAAACCAAATCTATGCTAACCGTCCAAATCAAGGAGAGCTTTGGGTTTCTCCCAAACCGATTGTTGGCTTTTATTACTGAAATAATAGGCCTTTCCGTCCGGTGTCTTATATTCAGTCCATTCCGCGGCAGCCATTCTGATCTCTGGGTCGATCGACGCGTCAAAAAATAATTGCTGTTTAAGTGGATCTGCATTAGCCATAGGAACAGGAGGTACTTGTTGTGCCCACGGGGGTGGGAATCCCGGAGGAACTCCAAACGGACCAAACGGCGGCACTTCGTATTCAAATTAATCATCAAATGTAACAAACATTTCAGTAAAGACATGCAATCAAGACATACCGGTGTGAGGCATGGGATGCATGAAAGGCGGGCCCATAAACCTGGGATTCGGAGCAAACAGTGGCGGCTGTTGGAGACCCATAGGAGGGCCGCCCATCGGCGCACCCCCTCCTCCTCCTATGCCCTCAACCTTACGCTCACTATTGTTCATGTCTTCAGCTTTTGCTGCAAATCATAATCATATTATAATATTGATTAGACAACAACTCAATGATTCAAATGCAGTGCTATTATTGCGACAAACCTTCGTCAGCATTGGTGGTGGTAGTGGTGGCCAACTGTTCCTGAGTCACGATCTTTGCGTTGTCCGGCTTAGTCCAAGTGGTCTCTCGTGTCTTAGCGTTATAGTAGTAACTCTTGCCATCACTGGTCTTGGTTTCCACCCAAATGTCTGTCTCATTGGATGTCTGCATGTCTTCGCACTTCTTCACGCAATCAACAATCAGTTCATACGATGTGTTAATGAATGCAAACAAACATTGAGTTATTGAAAGACAACACAATTGAGTGATAAAGCAATGGATGCACTGATGGACTGATGCACTGATGGACTGATGCACTGACACTGAGTTGTCTTGTGATCAATACTACTGTCAAATACACAACCAGTCAATGAGTGGACCAATTAATAGTTAATGAATGGGTGATAATATTGGATCAGATGATGACATTTAGCAATAAAAGCCGATTATATGAATAGTATTCATTTGATGCAATGAATTGAATGCAATAAATGGTTGCATTTGTTTATGCCTTACATTCACACAACACGTCCCACAATGCACTCAACGCTCACTGACACAGGAATCGCGCATTCAATAGACAGTTAGGTTCGCATAGATTCTGCACTCAAATAGCTGTTCAATGGGATACTGCAGTAGATTATAAATTTGAATTCACTTGGAAATTACTGTATAACTTTTAATATTGAATTAATCTTATTTTATAATTACACATTTAGATATATTAACACTAATTTAATGAATCAAATTGTATAATTTAATTAACACAATTAACCATTTACTCAAATTACATGCAATTCTAATTCACTTAATGCTAAAAAGTGTAGTTTCTTATGAATCATAAGTTATGATTTATAAATTTTATATGGTACATATTTTAGTGTCTTGATAGATCAATGATCTAAGATCACATATTATGTGCAAGAACAAACATTATCACAACCATTTTATAAGATAATCAGTAAACAAGACCCAAATAATCAATGTTTAACCTTTAGTTCTGTCATTTGTAGTCTTTAACAGATTCTGTGTTATATTTACTCATTTCATCTAAAATTCTTTATGTTTCATATGATCAGACTGTTTCATAGAATTACAGTAAATTATACAACAAGCTAAATAAATAAATTTGATGAACATAATTTCTATTTTGACATTCATTCATTTATATTCATAGGGAACAAGTTTATTAAATGTATTTTAATCATTTTATATTCAAATAATTGCCATTCTTTATTTGGTAAACAGGCTTTAATGACAACCTTTAATGTTTACTGAATGATTGCTCACTATATTAATAAATCTGAATATTTACAATATGTTGGAAAGATTTATTGAATTATAAACAATGAATGCTATCTTTAAGAGATACAAACTTCTAATCAGTTACAGTATTAAATATTGGTTTATATTAAATGTGATGATATATTTGAAAGTGTGGTTCAAATACACGAGTCTATACTTTTGACCGATTGGTTCGCTTTATCACTACAGAAAACTCCGGACTATGAGTATAAACTTATGGTTTGCATCCAAGTTGAAAGTGATAATCCACTGAAACAAATGGAAATCATTGATTGCATTTAATATTTGGTTACAATACTGTAGTGCAAAGAACTGAATGTTGAGATACTGTAATGCTCCAGACAAATTTTAAAGTACTGTACATTGATATACAACTGAATCAACACAACAATCATTTATTGGTTGTTTAAAAAGTAACATATTTGAACAATAGTTTTGGACATAATTCAAATAAAATTTTTATTAGACTTTAATATATTCCTAACGAAACCAATACTTATTATTCGGGAAAAGTTGTGAATATCACAGACATTAGGCAATAATCAATCATATTTAAGTGACTCTCAAAACAATAGGTTATGACTCGAAAATAAAAATTTCTGATAAATAAATGTTTTTTAATTAACACTTAGTTAAAGAATCTTTAGTTTAGTTGAATAGAAAACAATTTAATTAATCGATGGACGACGTGATCGCCACCGAAGTCACGGCACTCAACACCACGAGAAGAATGGAGTTTTTCGTTGAAAGCTTTGCGTGAATGTCTCAGTCATGGCTCGTATGCGTCCCCTTTGAGCGCCACGACTTCGCTCCACCAGAACGGCCGGCATTTGAACCAATTGTACGGGAGATTTGCCTTCTTTTAAAGCTTGTGTCAAATTTAATATCTTTGAGAAAAACAACAATTTTAACAAATAATCAAAACTTGTACCGTATATACGGTAGGAATCATAAAATGAATACCTGTCCTCTCATCACAGACATCTGTTTCTCGAAAACATTTCTATCAAACCCTTTATCATTCTACAAAACACAATGTATTCACTTTAGATGTATTTAAATTTAAAATAGATGTAAACCATTGCATACTTTAAAGAGTTCGTAGAGTTCGTCGCATAATTCCTGTACATAATTCATATCCGAAAGTTGAGGCAAAATGAGATCCCGGGTCTCATTAGAAAAGGGTTGTTTGGCGTACGGAAGCCAAGTCCAGTAGTACGGGTCTGGCATTCAATATAGCATTTGGTTATAAACAGTGAAATTCAACAAAACAAGTGTCGACTCACAGGCTCTCCATTCGTCGGGATGTTTGAAAGGGAAGGCCAGACCGTTATCAATGGCAGCGATCTTAATGGGTAGCGATCTTTTAGGACTCCATGAAGTGAGCGGTTGTGTCTCAATAGGTTTGGAAGGCTTTTGGTATTTGATGAGCCAATTATCATTACCCCGATCAGTGTTCCGTATAATATAGTCGAGAACTACCAGTCGTTCAAACTGTGACTGAAATTCTTTGAGCACATCTTCGGGCAAAGGGTTGTCTTCAAAACGTCTCAACCAAAAGATCGCGTCTTCAAAGCTCTCGACAAACGTTTGAAGTGAACCCACCTTTAGGTCAACAAATGAGTCAATTGTTTGCATTCGTTATCAATAAATACTTTGGACTTACTTTCGGTGGTAAACCTATGCGATGGAAATGTCGGCCAACTTTGGGAAACCTTTCGTTAACATTCTTCTTGGTCGCAGACTTCGCCCGATCTATGGCTGAGTAGTTGAATGTTTCGGAACAGAGTCTCACCACCTGTTTAGACACAACAACTCATTCAGATATATGATTACCATAACAATGGCAGACATTACCTTAGTTTTGGGCACAATATTCAACTGTAGTTTTTGGTCCACTAGTGAAGCGGCCGCTTCCGACAGATATCCCTGGTTTGGGACCAGACATGAGCGTCCGAAACAACAGGGACAGCACAGCTTATGCATCCATTTGGTCCACTTCGGGTTCAACATCCCGTACGGCTCCTCATCCTTGGGCTTAAACACACCAATCGTTTTCTATACATTCAATCAATCAATGAATATGTGTTTGTTTGGCAGTCATTGGGAAGGGCTGACCGTATTGTCACTATTCCTCACGAAATAGCTGCCACTGGAGCCCTGTTTGATACGAGTGGGGTATATGCCGTTGTCGATGGCCTGTTCCGCTTCCCTCACCAACGACTGTTTGAATGTATTTCCCTTAACCATAGGTGCGTTGTGTGGACGGGTGACAACAGAGTCTTTTTCTACAATCCAAGCACTCGAACCTCTCTCTGGGAATGCCCTCAAGATCTTCAAAACCGTTCGGATGTGGAAAAGCTAATGAAAGGACCGCCGAAAGCGTCGGACTCGGAGTCGGGAGAAAAACGAGTGAATGAGACGAAAGAAGAGAAACCTAACAAAAAGCAAAAGTATTTTCGCATTCTTTAAACACTTTTCATGAAATGCATTTAAAATTTGTTATATTTTTATAATTAGAAAAATTGAAGAAAACGAAGAGAAAGAGAAAGATGCGAAGAAAGACGGGACGAGTGAAGCGGAACTGTTAGCCGCGAAACAGAGAGAAACGATTCCCGTGGAGGAGAGAATCAATATGTTTAAGGCGATGCTCATTGAGAAAGAGGTGACATATTTAGTGAATAATGTGATTGTGAGCTAACTGTGCGTTCATCCTGTGCTAAAGGTGTCTGCGTTCTCCACGTGGGAGAAAGAGTTGCATAAAATTGTTTTCGACGCCAGATATCTGATACTCACTTCACGCGAACGAAGACAAGTGTTCGAGAAGTATGTGAAAGAAAGGGCCGAAGAGGAGCGCCGAGAGAAGAGGCAGCGATTGAGGCAACAAAAGGACGACTACCGGAAACTCCTGGAGAGCGCCGGTTTGGGCCCGAAGTGTTCGTTCGGCGAATTCGCTCAAACTTACGGCAAAGACGAGCGCTTCAGGAATATTGAGAAAATGCGTGAAAGAGAGTCTCTTTTCAATGATTTTATATCTGATTTAAGGAAAAAAGAGAGGGAAGAGAAGG